ACTTTCCATTTTTGCAATTTCAGATTGCTAATTTATTTTATTTTATTATTTTTGTAATGTGTATTTATTTGAGTGAAAGAGAACACACGTGCACGGCAGGGAGGGACAGAGAGAGAGAATACCAAAGAGTCTGTTTGCTGTCAGTGAGGAGTTGGATGAGGAGTTGGATCTTAGGAACCATGAGATCATGACCTGAGCTGAAATCAAGAGTCAGACCCCTTAATGGACTGAGCCACCCAGTCGCCCCTCACGTTGCTAACTTATTTTAAATTCAAGAATTCATATTTTTGTTCGAGAGAGGAAAAAAAGGAATAAACTAAGGTTGACCGCCACAGAAAAACATATAGACCTTTTGCAAAATGCTATCAACTTTTAGAACTGAATGTTAAGAAAAAGACTTTTAGGGGCACCTGGCTGGCTCGGTCCACAGGGAACACAACTCTTGATCTTGGGGTTGTAGGGTCGGGGCCCCACATTGGGTATAGAGCTTACATTAACAAGATAAAATCAAAAAGAAAAGAAAAGAAAAAGATCTATAATCTTCTGATGAGTTGCCAATAGAAAGTAACAGCAGTTGTCAAACAAGTTTTCACAAAATATATGTTCGAGGTTCATTCCGTATTTGTCTAATTTTAATACATGTGCAAGGAGCCCAGAAAGTGCATTTTTCAATAATTTTGATATTTTCTTCATAAATATTTAGAAAAAAAAGAAAGAAAAGTCATCTTCTTCAGACAGATGAGTCTGTCTGAAGCTGTCTCAGGGTGAGACTGTCCATAATCTTAACTACCCCTTTCCTCCCAAGTCACATGTATTTTTGTTAGAACTAAATATATCATCCTCTTGGCAGCTCCCTTGCTTGCTTTCAACCCATTCTGAGCTTGAATTTTCTGCATGACTGAGTTCGCCTCCAACTTATGAAAAATAAAAGTTTCCTCACTTTTAATAGGTGTCTATGATATGGTATCACTCTAATGATATATGTCTTTATAATGGGCTCCTGACTCATTCAGGGTCACGCTAGCAATGGACTTCCTTAAATGTGATTACGGAAAGCACAGCGATTCTCACCATAATTTTCATTTTAAGAAATAAAAAAAGGAAAATGGCCACTTAAAGCTCGGCGGTGCTGGTCAGCCCTGCTCTTCCACTTGGAGGTGCAATATGGCTCACCTGATGGAAGGTACTCTCAGAACCTACCTCTTTCTTTCTTTCTTCTAATGTTTACTTATTTTTGAGAGAGAGAGTGAGAGTGGAAGAGGGGCACAGAAAGAATGGGAGAGAGGATCTGAAGTGAGCTTTGCGCTGACAGCAGCCAGCCGGATGGGGGGCTGTAACACAGGAACCCTGAGGTCATGACCTGAGCCAAAGTCTGACCCTTAACTGACTGAGCCACCCAGGTGCCCCTCATTACTTATTTCTATGAAAAAACGAGCTCTTTTATCACACAAGGGCAGAGAAATAAATACCATCAAATATTATTTTCCTACATTTTGAAAGACTGACCCATCTCACGATCTGCAGAGACTATCTAAAATCTCATTTTCAGGGATTAAAAAAAAAAAAAAAAGAGATGTAGACCTAGGGGGAGAATGAGATCCTAAGAAAAGGATTCCATTTGTCTGAAACTTTCAAGTATACTTGTATATTAGTACAAGATTTTTTAGCCTAGCGTAGCAGTCTTTTTTATTTACATTTGTTAAAATGCAACTTGGTAAGATTAAAATCCAGGTTTAAGATTTTCACAGAAATGTACGTGACATAAAGGGCAAATCTTGCACTGCTGGACCAACTGAAAAATGAAAAACCAGCTCCTAAAGCCATATCATGTGCCCTGCGAGCCCTCGGTAAATGTTAGTTGATTAAATATTAGTCAGAGATGACAAGGTGGGCACCAGGGACAACAGAACCATTTCCGAAGAGAGCGTGGTTAAGCTACAAGCAGGGCGACCACAGCGACGCAGGGGCAACAGAGCTCTAGCACAGCCCTCGAGGCCGCGGGGGTCAGGGCGACTCGCCACTGAGCCCAATCTCAGAAAGTGCCCTGGGGGTTCCGGGGGAAAGAGGTGTAGCGGCACAAACAGCCGAGTGGCCCAAGGCGCAGTCGGGGATCTCGCCGGGTCACCGGGGGTACACTACGTGGCTGCAAAAGGTCTGAGGACTCGGTCTGAGAACAGCCCGGAAGTTCCTGCGGCGGTCCCGCTCTGGCAGCCCTGGGTGTTCCATCACGGGTGTTCCACCGCGTGTGCCCCGCGCCACCGCCGCCAGCTGACTCAGCTGCAACTACACGAGCTCGCGGGCCGGGGGAGGGAGACCGCGGCGCCGGCCCGTGTACCCGGCCAGCGCGCGCACGCGGCGAGGCCCCGCCCCGCCTGTCCTCTGGCTCCCGGTGATTGGCGACTGAACGACGAAGGGAGCAGGGCCAGGGACGTTATTGGTTGCAATCCACACTCACTCAACGAGCCAGGGAGGGGAGGGGCCTCTTCAGGGAGGGACACGACTGCGAGGCTCTTTCAAGGCCGTTAGGCGCCATGTTTAGCTTGTTTTGTTTTGTTTACTCGGTTCTCTCCTCTGCTGCTTACAAGGCAAGCGTGTACACGATTGTAAGTTCGGTGGCCACCAAAAGGTGGTGGTGGAAAGTTTTTAATTCCTGTCGGCCTTGGTTACAGATCTTTCAGATCCCAGTAGCAAAGGGGCAATTCCCCTTAGTTCAAAGTTTTCATCTCTACGAACCCTGCGGATTCCCAAATTCAACCGAGTTTAGCTTGTGTTGTGATAGGGAGGCCAAACCAACGATTTATTCGTGGGACTCAACGCAAGGACCCTGGACATGAGTGTAGGTTCCTAGTAAGAATCAAATGGCTTAGAAGTGTACTGTTCTAGAAGAGCTCTCTCACGAGAAGTTAAAAAGTGATGACCTGCAGTGATGTGGGAAAGAATTAGAAAGAGCAAAACTCCATTAAAAATTCCCAGCATCGCCGCCGTCACAAAGTCACCGGAATCTGACTAGATTTCATGCATGCAGGTCTAAACTTGTGGAATGATCCATATTTGAGACAGTATTACATACTGATCTGACTTGCGTTGTTAGGAAATAAAAATACATCCAGTACAGGTAAGTAGCCCAGAGATCGCACAGAGGGCGACTTTCATTATGAAGTTCAAGACCTGTACAAATAATCTGAAAGCTGTTGTTTAGGCGTCCCAAGTGTTACTTGACACTGAGTAGGACGTTAGTTGAGGAATAGAATTGTATCACCATGACCATATTGAGGCTTTGCGGTACTGAAATTTGAACTCTACAGTAGATAGATCCTTTTATACACTGGTCGCTACTTCACTGGTGACATTCCAGTTTCTCCCTCATCACCCCATATACTTCCTATGCTTTCACTCCAATCTGCGAATGCAGATTTTAATATATTTTCCATATAATCGCTTCTCGGCCTTTTGGTTAAGATCAAGTGTAATATATTTTCTGTAAGATTCCTAATAGAAGACACTGGTGCTGTAACAGAATGAAGTGAGAATATGGCTCACAGAACAGGAGGTTCTGCTCTGAGCTTGTTTTGTCCTCAGTCTTACCCTTTTCTCTGGAACTCTTTGACATGGGGAGAAGGCTCCCCATCCCAAAAATGCAACATGATAACCAAAATGCATTTCTTATCCCTACTTTGCATTATTTGCCTTTGCCTCCTCTGGCCCCTCCCCCATCCAACCACTATGAACAGTTTTTGAGAACTGGACTTGACTGGATTATTTTCCTGACACTTGGCCAGCTGTGGAGCTTTTCAAACAAATCCCAACCTATAAACGACCGTTTTGTCAAAAAGCCAAGGGAGAACTTCCCTTCTGAACACAGCAACGAAACCACACAAAAAGGCCAAAATATACACAGCTGTACATTTAGGAACGTGAGACAATAAAAAGCAAAACCACTTAGGCAAAACAATCAAGGAGGCTTTGAACCAGAGATTCAATAAATTGCCTACCCTCACTTGCCACATGGACTATGTTCCCTGGCAATTATTTAACTATTCGCTAATCTGATACTTTAGAAGAGTAGTAGAAAAATACAGTAAATGCTCATAAAATGAAAGTGCCTAAGTATCCTAAGCACAAGATTTCTTCTAAACTCTAATTTGCACACGAAATCCTGTTTGAACCACATTTGGGAACACAACAGAAAAAAAAATCACATCCTAAGGGCTACTTTGCACACACAGAACCAAAGGTAATCTCTTTTGAAAACAAAATCTGATATGGCACATATACACAAACTGTACATATACACAAATCACAAAACCTCAAGATAAATCTTTATGATATCATTTGCTTACACACACACACACACACACACACACACACAGTCTTCATGAAAATGTAAGGCACATTTGTAAAAAGGGCTTTGCCCACCTCCCCAGGGAAATGAGTGTCTCAATTATAATATCCAAACATTTTTAACCTATTGGCCTTGGACAATTGCCACATTCAAGCCACTTGGTTTTGGTTCTGGGGGAGGGTGTGTAAAACGCACGCAAACAGCTTTGTGAGGGAGTCTCAAATCTCCGCTTCTTTCCACGTTGCCCTTGACGTTGCCCGTGGCAGAAATTTACATTATCCCTTCAGCCCGCCTAAAAAAAAAAAAAAAAAAAAGAGGAAGAAAGAAATCTATACTTCTCAAACGGCTAATTTTTTTTAAATCCCTCGACCATAAAAATTACCAGTTCTTAAAATGTGATAACAAAAAGAAAAAAAAATCTCTATAAATTTGGCCGTTAACAGTTGTACACGGCCATCCTGCTTCTCAACTTCTTGGTATATTTAAAACCTTGACCAGGAAAAAGAAAGAGGAAGAGAGACAGAAAAAGAAATGGGGGAAAGCGCAAATTCCCCTTAGCAACAGTTTCCTCACCCCAACACTGCCACAGATCTCTATTTTTAAAAATTTTGAAAACACACACAAGATTAAGGAAGAAAAAAAAATGGAAAAAGGATACCCGAAGGTCGTATGGCTCTTTGTATTCGTGTGTGTGCAAAAAGGAGGACTCGCGGCGCCGGAGCCGGCAAGCCCCGCCCCTCCCCGGACGCCCGCCCGGATTGGCCGCCGCCGCCGGCGGGGCGCCCCGCCCGCGAGCACACGCGCCGCGCCCCAGGCCGGGTCCCCAGGGGGCCCCTGAGGGCAGCCCGACCCCCCGACCCAGACCGCCTTCCAGCTGGACCCTAGCGGTTGGCTGGCGTCTATCCCTTTCGCCGCCGCTGTCCCTTTCTGCCTTTCCTTTCACTTTCTCACCCTCCTCACCCTTCCCCACCGTCCTTTCTCAGTGAAACGAGGCCCTTGGCATCAATATGAATAACAGTCCTGTGAGCGAGCTCCTTCGGACATTGCCAAACTTGGTTACCTACTCAGTGAAATTCTAGGCCTGAATTAAGCATCAAGGACTTGGTGCGTGGGCCTGAGCTCATGATTTCCAGGTAGAACGTCTCTGGGTCGTGGCTGTTGCTTGACACTCCCACTTTTACGTGAAAGAACATTTCAAGCAAGTATGTGACATCCCTTAGGTGAAAGACAAATGGTCTTGGACTTTCCAGCGTTGCTTTTGCTCAGCCTGAGTCTCCAGTTTTTCTCTACCCGGCTAAGATAATATTCTCAAGGACCTAAAATGGCTCCCCTTTACCTCCTGCATGAGGACCTGGTTGCTTGAAAGTTAAACCACACATAATCCCGTCCCACGCCCTTGTTTGTTCTTAGTTCCCACTGCCCTCACCTTTTCAACCTGAATTATTCCTTTGCTCAAGTGCTCTCGTCTGCCTGAAATAATGCCTGTTTCCTTTTCTCTGACTAGGCAGTTTTTATCCATTATTCTTCAGCTACTTCAGCCAACACAGACCACTTCCTTCTTGCCTATTAGAATGAACTTCATGCATTCTCAGGTTAGCAGCTCCTAACTCTACCTTGATTGTTTCACATACTTTAGTGATTTCATACTAGTAAGCTGTTTGAGATCACAGATCATATCTTAAACTTCTTTTTCTATTCAGGAACCTTTTTTTTTTAAAAAATTCTTACTTCGGCTGCATAATTGTAGACATTAGTAAGCACTGGAAAAAATCATTTATAATTGAGTGGATTTTTTTCTAGCTCAGACACAAATTTTGAAACTCAGCTCCCACAACAAGAACATGCCTTCTATAGTAACAGTTCACGAGCACTTACTGTGCAGGGACTGTTCTGAACACTTCACAAGTATTAAATATATTTAATCTCCACAGTAGTGAGGAGGTACTATGATTATCTCCATTTTATATTAGAGATTCGAGTACCGAGAAGTACACAGGTCTTTCTCAGCTTACAATGGGGTTACCTCTCAATGAGCCTATCCTAGGTTGAAAATGTTAAGTTGGAAGTGTATTTTATATACTTAACTGAACCTCATAGTTTAGTCTAGCCTACTTTAAAAGTGCCTGGAACACTTACATTAGCCTACAGTTGGGCAAATCATCTAACACAAGCCTATTTTATAATAAGGAGTTCACTGTCACATATAATTTATTGAATACTGTACCATAAGTGGAAACAGAATGGTTATAAGTGTATTGGTTTATCCTTGTGATAGAGTGGCTGCCTGGGACTTGCGGCTCATGGCTTCTGCCCAGCATCATGAGAGAGTATCCTACTGCCTATCACTAGCCCCAGACAAGAGCAAAATTCAAAATTCCAAGTATGGTTTCTACTAAATGTGTATCACTTTCACAGCATCATTAAAAAAAAAAAAAGAAAAAAAATCCTAAGTCAGGAACCATCTGTAATAATGTGACTAAGGTTATACAGATAATAAGACAGAGACCTGGGATTTGAACCCAGCAACTCATAATTGTAGTTTCTTTCTTTCTTTTTTTTAATTTTTAGTGTTTTTTTATGTATTTCTGAGAGAGAGAGAGAGTGAGCAGGGGAGGGTCAGAGAGAGGGAGACACAGAATCCAAAACAGCCTCCAGGCTCTGAGCTGGCTGTCAGCACAGAGCCCGACGCAGGGCTCGAACCCACAAACTGCAAGATCATGACCTGAGCTGAAGTCGGACGCTCAACCAACTGAGCCACCCAGGCGCCCCTCATAGTTGTAGTTTCTAACCAGTATGCCTCACTAGCTCCACAGCGCAGCTTTAAAAAAATATTGTTATCTAATTGGATAAAAGTAGATACACAACATTCCACAAAATAAATGGCCTGAAAGCTTCCAGAATATCAGTGTCATGAAGCTGCACACAAAGGTAGAAGGACTGTTCTGAATTAAAGGACAATATAGACAGAGGCGCCCCGCGGCAGGTTCCGGAGGTCGTGGGATTGAAGATTTAAATCCCAAGGTCATGGCAAGACATCTGAAGTTCATTGCCAGGACTGTGATGGTACAGGAAGGAAACGTGGAAGGGGCATACAGGACTCTAAACAGAATCCTCACCATGGATGGGCTCATTGAGGACATTAAGCGACGGCGGTACTATGAAAAGCCTTGTCGCCGACGACAGAGGGAAAGCTATGAAACCTGCCGGCGGATCTACAACATGGAAATGGCTCGCAAGATCAACTTCTTGATGCGAAAGAATAGGGCGGACCCATGGCATGGCTGCTGAGGCCTGTGGGTAGTAGGCCCAGTATGAAGCTCCCTATCCAGCTGTCCCCTTCCTATCTCAAAGCCCATTTGTTCTTACCTTTTTTTTATAATAATAATCTCAATCACATATACGCAAGAAGACCTGCCTATATAGAAGCAATCCCATAGTTATCAGTGGACCCTCTCTTTTATCAAGTGAAAGAGAAACTGAGTCAAAAAGTTGTCTAAAAGTAGAATGGTGCTAACCAAGGGCTGGTTGGGAGTGGGGAACAGGGAATTATTGTTTAATGGGTACAGAGTTTCAGATGGGGATGCTGGAAAAGTTCCAGAGACAGATGGTGGTGATACTTACACAACAATGTGAATGTACTTCATGCCACTGAACTGTACACTTAAATGGTTAAAATGGCAAACTTGTGTATGTTTAGCTATAATAAATTTTTAAGTAGTCTAGGAGAGATGAGGAGCTTTTCTGAAATGTGGAGAAATAGATCTATAATTTCCTACCCAATTCTTATAAAACCCAAATCAAGACCTTATTATTGGAAAAGCACCTGTTACTCTTCACTGAACTGTCCCTTCCTCCCAACTATTAGAGGAAGCGTGTACATATTTGGAATAAATTTTGCTACTGAAACACCCCAAAAAAAAAAAAAGGACAATATAGAGACATAACAACTAAATGCAAAATATGATCCTTGATTAGATCTGAGTCACAAAAAAAGAGTGATAATAGACATTACTAGAAAACAACTGGGGAAAATGGAATATGATAGATGAAATAGGATAAATAAAATGAATATGAGAATATGGACCAGTATTAAATTGGCAGGTTATTGGCATCCCCATTTTACAAGAAACACAGGAGCAGAGAGAGAGCTTACTACAAAGTCTCATAGCTAACAGGTGGCAGACCTGAACCCCAAGCCAACTGTTCTATTTACACCCCCGCACTCCTCCGTACACCCCTGTTTCAGCGCTGGCTGTTGGTCAAACCTCCTCCATACAATTGTTGGTTCTCGAAGTCCAGGACTTTCTTGGTAGATTTTGGTTCTCAGCAGAAAGGCCTGTTGCCTCCAACATTGTTTTCATCCAGGCAGCACCCTTGCTTCTGTAGCAACCCCACTTTGCCTTTTATCTAAAAATGAGATGGCAGTGTTTATATTCTTGAGGGTAATAGACCTTCTGTTTCTTTTCCCATATTTTCCGCTAAAAATTAAAAAAAAAACCAAGCTAGCCAGGAAATCACTAGGAAAATCTGAACTTTGGATAGGTATACACTATGACATCTCATATCTTCAAATGTACAGGTGATCATTTTCAAAATGTTAGGATGGAGGAAAATAGAATTGTTAGCAACAGTTATTATAACTGACATTTATTGGAGTGCCTGAGTGGCTTTGTTGGTTGAGGGTTGGACTCTTGATTTCAGTTCAGGTTATGATCCCAGGGTTGTGGGATCAAGTGTTGTGTTGGGCTCTGCACTGACTGTGGAGCCTGCTTAAGATTCTCTCCCTCTTGCCCTTTGCCCATCTCCCTGGCTTGTGTTCTCTAACAAATAAATAAATATAATTAATTAATCAATTAATTTACATACAGAATCATATATACATATTTGACATTTATGGAGGGTCTCCTTGGGCCAGGTACTCTGTTTCATTTAATTAATCTAGGAGATAAGTCCTATTATACTGTCTCTTTTATCTATTTTATTTTTTCATAATGTAATTTTAATTATTTATTTAAGTTTATTTATTTATTTTTGAGAGAGAGAGCATGAATAAGGGAGGGAGGGGGCAGAAAGAGAGAGGGAGACAGAGAATCCCAAGTAGGTTCCACACTGTCAACAAAGAGCCAAATGTGGGGCTCAAACTCACGAACTATGAGATCATGACCTGAGCTAAAATCAAGAGTCAGACATTTAGCCCACAGAGCCACCCAGTGCCCCCACTGGTTCTTTAATTGACTCAGACTCAGAGAGGGAAGGTGACTTATCTCAAAGTCATTGAGCTCATTAAATGGTGGAGTAAGAATTTGAATTCAGGCCTCCAGACTTCAGAACCTGTGCTCTTGACCAATCATTAGTCTCTGACTAAATTGACATGCTCTCTGCCTTGCTATATTACCCTCTTTTGGTCTCTTATTGGAGTCTATGAAAAATAAGCTCTCTTCCCTCTGAGGATCAATAGAATGTTCATGCTCGCCCCCCACCCACCCACCAATGTCTCCTGGGATATATTTTAAATTATGAGTCCATTTCTACAAATGTCAGAGTTAAGTTGGCAAAGCCATTTCTTTTTAAGTTTCTTTTCTCCCCTTATGGTCATAAAGGAATCCTTGGTAGAAAGTTTGAGTAAAGCATTTTTGTGCTATTAGATAATGAGACTAGAAAGAAAATGCATGCACCTTTTTTCACCCCCAAAAATTACAATTTTAAACTCTAAAGCATTTGAGATTTCAAATGTTAAACTTCACAGATGACTCGTCATTGAGGAAAAGCTGCTCATTTGGCTTTGAATCAAGTAGATCTCTTTATTTTAAGCTGTTTCTGTTCAGTGTGATCCCATGGGAGCCTTCACATACAGTGAAATCTAACTTCCCCTGGAGTGAGGCTGGGACGCTGCTTCAGACAGTCATTCATTAACATGCCCGAGAGCATTTTAAAACAGTAGTGGAAGGAAATCCCAGAGCCAGCTGGGAGGATGTCCTTAGAGGCACCAGAGAGGGGAAGTGTGAGGTGTCTGAGAGAGTTGAGGTTTGGAGAGATGAAAGAGGTTACAGAAAGGTGGAAGATAATGCAAAGGAAAAGAGAAAGGAAGACAGGCAGGCAGCCGAGAACACTACTCCATGAACAGTAAGTAAAAGAGCTTATGTTGTAGCAGGAGTGAAGGCAGATTAGATATGAAAGAAAAAAGTTTCTGAATCAGACTGATTATTAAACGCAAAGGAAACTGTGTAAACACCTGGGAAGTCTTTCCTAAACACCAGTAAAAAATAAATTACCCACAAAATTAAAATGCCAAAAAAATTAAATACAGATAAATGTGAAAAAGGAGAAGGATGAGGAAGAAGAGGAGAAGAAGAAAGATAAATGCCAGCTAATGTATGTGGAAAAAATGACAGAAATCGAAAAACCAACGTTTGCCAACCACCAAAGCAAAAATTGTTTCAGGAAGGATAATCAATAGTTGCTAAATCCACTGGGTGCAAGACTGTGCAAGAACAGGATAGTCACATGAGCTCAAATAGTCACTCTACTTATTATTAGTTTACTAATTACAAAGGGCAAACATGACTTTACAATGGAGAAATCTAGCAAACTTCACAGCACCAATAATGTAACAAACTAACATGTGCCTCCTGCTGCGGTAAAATGGGAAATACATATTATCACTGAGGTTATAGTCTCACTACAATGTTTAACCTGAGTCTAATCAGAAGGAAACAAACAGACAAATCCAGGTTGCTCATGACAAATGATGGCCTGGACTCTTTAAAGTGCAAATGTTGCAAAAGACTCATACACAAATATGGGAGCCTGTTTTAAATTAAAGGAAACTAAAAAGATATGACAATTAAATGTGATGTGTGAGCCTTGATTGACTTCTGGATCAAGAAAAAAGAAAACTATTGTGGACATTATTTGGACAAATAAGGAAAGTGAATATGGACTAGATATCAGATATATGACTGATTATATAAATGCTAAATTTCTTGGTGTAGTATTATGGTTTTATTTGTTTATTTTTAATTTTTTAATGTTTTATTTATTTCTAGGAGAGAGCGTGAGAGAGAGAGAGACAGCGTGAGCAGGGGAGGGTCAGAGAGAGAGGGAGTGACAGACTCTGAAACAGGCTCCAGGCTCTGAGCTGGCAGTCAGCACAGAGCCCGACGCGGGGCTCGAACCCACGAACCGCGAGATCATGACCTAAGCGAAAGTCGGACACTCAACCGACTAAGCCAACCAGGCGCCCCAGTATTATGGTTTTATAGGAGAATAATTCTTAGGAGACACATTTAGGGGTAAAATGTCATGATCCCTTAACCTTTCAAATGATTTAGTCAAATATATACTACCAAATAGATATATATAGAGAGAGATAAAACAAATGTGGCAAAATGATATCAATTAGTGGACCTGTAGGAAGGGTATATGGATATTTGCTATACTGTTCTTTCAACTTTTCTGGTCTTGAAACATTTCAAAATTTAAAAAAAATGTAGATCATGTTTTTGCTTTAGATATTTAGATTCAGCCCTTACTTGAAACAAGGAAATAGTCTCATGGACTCTGGGATTCTCTGATTTATTTTAGGACTCTGTTACAGTGCTTCAGAAAATTCCAAAGTGCATGTTAGTACTCGCTTAGGCAGCACATGATAAAATGCATGTTAATCTAGAATGTCAAATAACTCTTTTTCTTAAAAAAATTATTTATTTTGAGGGGTGCCTGAGTAGCCTAATCAGTTAGGCATCTTACTTGATTTCTGCTCAGGTCATGATCTCATGGTTCATGAGTTCAAAGCCTGCATGGGGCTCTCCGCTGGTGGTGCTAAGCCTGCTTGGAATTCTCTCTCTCCTTTTCTCTACCTCCCCCCCCCACCACATCAAAATAAATAAATAAATTTTTAAAATTATAAATAAATAAATCAACATTTTAAAAAATCATTAAAATTTATTTATTTTGGTAGAGAGAGAGAGTACATAGGGGAGGAGCAGAGAGAGAGAGAGAGAGAGACAGAGAGAGAATCCTAAGCAGGCCCCTTGCTGTCAGCATGGAGCGGGATGCAGGGCTCCATACCATGAATCAGGGGATCATGCTCTGAGCTGAAACCAAGAATTGGACGCTTAGCCAACTGAGCCACGCAGATGCCCCTCAAAGAGTGTTTTTAAACAGCTGGAAGAAGGACAAATGGCAACAATTCTAGATTGTGAAAAAAAGAAACAATGAAAAATGACTTTTGTTTTTAAGGTGTGGGGGTTGGTGATACATGAACCTCACTTTCAGCATTAATTAGTCCCTCCCGGGGCGCCTGGGTGGCTTAGTCGGTTAAGCGTCCGACTTTCGCTTAGGTCATGATCTCGCGGTTCGTGGGTTCGAGCCCCGCGTCGGGCTCTGTGCTGACTGCCAGCTCAGAG